ACAAATAAACATTTAGGCGGTTATCGATTTTGAGATCAATAAAAAAAAATTACTTTTAAAGTGAAACACTGCAAATGAACGTGATTGTACATAGCTCAGGTCGTTTGAGATACAAGGAGAATTGTTCAAGACTAAATAACGTCTGGTTACACAGATGTAGTCGTGCCAGGTACGTTATTGTCTCACATATTTATTTTGTCTTACACAAGAACAAAGTTGTGAATCTATTTTCATGTAAAAAGCTTTCACCGACTTTAAGTTTTATACAATGATATTACTTAGTAACGCTAAGTGCTATACATTTATTTTAATATTTAAAGAAGTTACTTAATGCCGTACTTAACGTAAAAAAATATTAGTAACCCTTTGAGTACATTTAGTATTATTTATACTAAGGGTTTCTTTATAAAACAATTAACGACTATGCGCACCATTTTATAATTTTACTGATTCGTGTAAATATGTTCAAAAGAAATACATTTTTAGGGTTCCGTACCTCATAGGAAAAATACAGAAACCTTATAGGATCACTTTGTTGTCCGTCTGTCTGTCTGTCAAGACCTTTTTTTTGTTTGTACTTAAATCAATGAAAAGTTTATAATGAAGCATTGTTAGGGTTAAGTAAAGAGACCCGAGAGTGCTTTTCGCTAAAAATGACATCTTTTAACATAGTATTATTTAAATAAAGTCAATAGTAAGTAATAATATTAGCGTAGAAATATATAACTACACAAAATATTAAAATATATGTTGATATCTCAGAACATATGAGAACAATAAATCTGTATTAGAACAACCGAAGCCTAAACACGCAGGACTAATGTTCGTTATAATATGGCACGCTCATTCAAGGTGTCAGGAATGGGGGATGGCGTCACGAGTACATAGGTGTAGCCTCGGGCACGCAGATCTCGCCCTCACACCAAAACTTCATTATGTAAGATGTACACAGAGAGCGAAGCTACTCAGCGCTATATTGAAACTAAAATATCCTGCCATTTAATTGTGTCAAATGGCAAATGAAGGAATAAAATATTTTAAGATTTGATGTGCACTTTGTATTAAAATTACGCTTTTACGAATTTGGTATATTTTACCTGCATTAATATTGAGTTAGGCAAAGTTAGGGCAAAATAATGAAAGAGTTTTATTAGTACTTTGTGGAAGTAATCATGTATAAGAATATCTAGGAAAAAGAACTTGTCTATAGAACGGGAAAAGTAAAAACAGGTTTTGTTGAATCCAGCGAATTCGAAATATGAGATAAAATGTGAATCAAATAACGGCAGTTTCATCAGCATTTTTGCAATGTCGTGTTTGATCGAATATAGTTTTGTTCGCTTCATTAAATAGTGTGACAAGCCTTTATTCTGCAGTGTATTTCAGGAATTTCTCCGCATTGCCCTCTCTTATGTCTGTTGGAGTTTTTAATGTTTTAATTTACATTTTATATATTAATTTTGAATACCGCAATCAAAAACTTCAATTGTCAAAACCGACTGTTTTATTCTAGGAATATTTTCTCATTTAAATAAAATAGCTTTATCATTTCAACTAAAAGTTAAAAGGCAATAGCATTTATTGATATAATTTCCAATTTTAAAATATACAGAACTGGACGTGACGGCTCAATTTCCTGAATACAGCTTTATGATAAAAATAAATTAATACGTTCAACGTAAAAAAGGCACGTACACAAAAATCGACACTTTTGCTATAAAATTTCATCGAATTTTAGGGGATTAAAATATAACAATTGAAGTAAATCTTTTTTTAATTACATTCTATGATACAGAGTACGAATCCCCTAATCATCTTCTGAACTGATGTTTTCGATTGCTGTTACGATAATTAGATAGGTTAAATTTGAACTAAATTGATTAAAATTGTGGAGAAAATAATTATGCCTAATCCTATATTCAGTCGTTAATCGGCGATAAAACACAATAATAAAAAAAAGCTAAAACAGGTTAAGTTTTTACTTCCCCTTGTATTCCCCCTATAACTGTACCTTGGCACTTTGCGCAAATTGGGAGATACTAACGCCGGCGGCTAGCAGTCGTTGCGGCGCCAACAGTCAAACTTTGTCACTTAACTCAGCTATAACGATAAGTTCCTCACTCGTACGCCAAGACTTCGCAATAACAGCGTAGTAAGGTTGCCGTATTGAATCAATACTTTATTAATAACTATTATTGAATAAATTAATTAAACCAAAACCTGGGTTTATAAAAACATTGCGCGAAGACACCACATGACTAGGATAAGGCCAAGAGAAGATTGAATAAATTAAATAATTAGATTATTATTAAAGCGAAATTTTTCTACCATATAACTTTTGGCGTTGGGTCAAATGAAAAAAATAAAAACACAAGTAGATCTTTTTAATAGCAATACATATACTTGTTCATTGTTTTCAGTTATTACAATGTTTTTTACAAATCAATTGATTGAAGTCTGTTTTAGAAGAGAAAAAGATTTTTGCGGACATAAGCAATTTGGCACAAAAATAATACTTCAAGGGGACGAACGTTGAGTGGAAGATCCATTAATTTTAAGTTAGGAGAAAATTAATATTTATGTTTCTTTTAAGGAATAGTTTTACAAAGCCATAAAACTGTCTCAGTAGGAAATATGATGATCCAATATAGTAATTCATATCTAGTGTTTAACAATAGATTAAAAACATGTTTGTCCCCTATGTTTTGTTAAACCACTGGACAACATTTTACAGAAAAAATCTAAATTATTTTAGGAGATTATAGAAGTACTTTAAGATTTAAATAAAAGTAATTTTTAGTTTAAAAAAAAATTTAGGTCGCACTATGTTAAAAAAAATAATTTTGACATCTTTGATTATCGTGGCGTTGTAAGCATACTGGTTTGAGGCAAATATATCAGATGAAATAACATCACCTTCCTGTCAGTCGGGCAAATATTTATGGATTATAAAACAAACATTGTGAGCCGGATCGTTGCTCCTGAATTTCGAAATCCGATTTACAAGAATCCCTACACACCTCCTGCTTTATCCATATTCGATTACGCATACAAAATACGCCGGTTATAGATTTTCCTTCCTTTGGCCCGTAAATTGCCGTTCTATCGACTGTAATAAATATTCAAAGAGGATAAGAGGATATTTTACCTTAATTTTGAATCACACATAAAATCAATATTTTAGTAATTTTAGTCTTCATTTATCATTAGCTCACTTATACGTCCCCACTGAGGTGCCTACCCTAAATTAGGGGTGACTAGGCCATAGTCAACCACGCTGGCCAAGTGTGTGTTGGTTGACTTTACACATCTCATATTTGATATATCTTCTCAGATATGCACATGTAGCATCACGATGTTTTCCTTCATCGTAAGAACGTCGGACAAATGTACATATGTAAATCAAAAGTACTAACTAAACTAAATATTAAATAATAAAAACACATTGGTACATGGCGGGATTCGAACACAGGACCGGCAGATTACAAGTCAAGTGCTTAAACCCCTGAGCCACCGACGCTCTCATCTCGTCTTCATTGATCATTAGCCCATAAGGACGAGGATAATAGGTAGCCTTCGTTTACGGTTTATTTTCAACGACACATACGAGTAACGACAACAGAAAGTAATCCTAGACAATCGACATAGCAAAGGAACTGCGGATAATATTGCAGTTTAAAATAAAAATACAATTCTATACGTCTTTAAGTCTTTAAAATTTTCAGAACGAAGAGACATTAAAGTGAAATATAGCATACAAAATGTATCCAAGAAATGGAATGCCCATGAAGGGTAACCAACAGTGATAAATTGGACCACATTACAGTATTCACCTTGACCAATTTCTATGGCAAAAGGAGATTTAACATAAAGGAAATAGGTAGAGCGGGTGCTAGAAAAACGTTTAGCTGCCATATAGCTTGAAGACACGCACGTCTACTGTATAGTTTGAAACGCGATGGTAAATAACAATAGCATTGTAGTAAATTATATTGTCGTTAATGGTGTTTCACTAGCTTTATCATCCCGTTTGGTATAGGTTAAGCAATTTGTAGGTCGTCAAAGAAACATTAACCACCCGCACGCTTTGTTTTTGAAAGAAGCTAATGCATTAAAAATGTTTACTCACATTTGTTTGGTCTTTATGTATAGAAATATTGGAGCAAATATTATTTCCTCGATTTACTCGAATAGAATAACTAACAAGTAAGAACGTTTTGATAAGACGCAAAATTGTGTGTTGTTTTCTTTCATAGTTACTAATGCTAACAAAGAAAGAACTATAGGCATGAGCTTCCACAACCCAATATTAAACACAAATGTATTGTTATCCTTGTTTTTACAAGGATATTAAGAGAGATGACAATACATTTCGCGATTATATACAAAATCTTACTAATATTATAATGCGAAAGGTTAGATAAATGGTTCGATGGATTGATGATTGTTTGAAGGTAACTCCGGAACGGCTAAATGGATCTTAATGAAATTTGGTACAGATGTAGAACATAGTATGAAAGAACACACAGGCTACTTATTTAAGTTTTTTTAATTCGAGGCGCCTTATATAATCTACTGATTGGGTAACATTTCGAGTTATTGTCTGCAGAATGTACTTAACAGTCGTACAATGTTACATTAATGTCGCAATCATGTCCTCCTTGTCTAACACGTAGGTATTAGAGCGAGCAAGGATAGTGATTTCCCATTTGATGTATCCCGCATACGAAAGTGTCTCAGTACACACTAGCACTGAACCTTTAGAAGCTTACGTAACCACTACCGAAAAACATGAATTAAAATATATTGTCATCATAAAAAAAATGTGATAATGTGTTCTAACTATATTAGAACAACACCGCTATATAACTGCTTCCATCAGCGCCATATGCTATATAATAGCTAAAATCGAATATACACAAAACACTACATTTCATAGCCAGTCCATTTATAGAGTCTGTGTTCAAATAAAGAAAAAAAAATTACTTTTAATTACTCACAGTATGTGGCGCTCGTCAGCCTGTCAATGGTGTCTTGTTTTAGTTTGGAGTTCTTCTTGCCCATTTCGACGCTTTTCTGTACCTCTGATGTAGTGACGAGTTCGCTGGCTGGATTAGTCACCGATTGGTGACTTATGACATGCTATGTCAAGCCTCTGATGTTATTCACCTGTAGACGAAAACTTTTTGTTAATCATTACAATAGTTTCATACAATAATGCAAATGTTACCGCCTTCAAAGTCAGTTAAGTTATAAAGTTTGATTTAACAGTAATGCGTCTCTCTAGAATTACTCAGTCCCAAAATATATCTGCTTCCTATGACGTCACAACTAGAGTTTCGGTGAAAATTAGTTAACTACGGTTTAATCAAAGTATCTCTGTTTTTTTATCGAAACCACAAGCTAATACCGTAAGGCTACTTATATAAAATATGATTAAGGAAGCAGGTGGAAATGTGGTAATTGAATAGGAAATGATAACAAAGCTATAATTGTTTTTTTTTGTGTGGTAACAAATCTTATTATATCGTGTATGCCACGAGGAAGTTATTACTAGTATTGCATGAGATTATTCACACTATACAAACGAACCACGAAGGGGTTGTGGCCACCCTTGGCAATAGGGTCTTTATAATATACGAATTGCACCAGTAAAGTACTCCCCCTAGTGAATGTATTAAATATACGTTATGCATTTCAAAGAACGAAATAATCCCAAACTAACTCCATCTATTTACACTAGCTTACTAACATTGTTATAAAATTGCTTAACTATTATTATTAAAATCCTTATAGAACGCTAAGTTACAACTGCCAAACTAAAATTTACGCATATTGCCGTAAGTATAACCGTTTACGTGTGAAATTAGATAAATCAGTCTAATAGCTTCGTATAGAATTAGTAGTATCACGATGAATCTTGCCTATTTTACAATAATATTGCGATACCTTTTATTATCATTTAAAAGAAAAAAGTTAGCGTATAACAAGAACAATATTGCTACCACCCTATTTCGAATTCACGGTCACGTTTCCGTATGTGTCAGCTGTCAAAAGTTGACAGTATGGCGCGTTTCTATAGCAGAATTAACGTCGGTTTACATTGCGCTAGAGACTGTATTACCTTTCAATATAACTGTTCACTGTCTCTCCTCCTGAAGGTAAGATCACGTGAATACCCCATTACACTGTCTTCAATTAATTAATTCCAGTTTAATGTTTTTCCGAGTTAGTGTATCTGAAACGATGGATAAACCCTTGTTACTATAACATACTATTTTCATACAAAGTATATTATCTTTCGCAGGGTTTTTGTATCACTATTAATATCGGATATGATCGCAAGCAATATTTTTTGTATTCAATTACATTCGCGTTTTGTACTAGAAAAGTTAAAAAGATTAAAAATAGTTAATTAACGTGACCGTGGTTAAAAGAATTAAAAGTATTATAGACAAAATAAAACAAAAAAGCTTTCCTGTCGAATAAAAAAAGAAAGAAAAGAAAAGATGCGTAGAAATAAACACTTAATCAACTGTCGGAAAACAAGGCAATGTTATTCGAGATGAAATTCGCAAAGCAGAAACATCGAAGCTGAATTTGTAACCGTGTAATACGATGTCGTAACGCCCTATAAATTGTTGTAGAAATGTCGATAGGATCCGTTGCGCAAATCAAAGCTTATGTCTACATTCGCTAGCAGTAAATGTCTACCCGGGCCCTGGTGAAACAAATCCTAAGACAAACGAAAATGGAAGATTACGAAAGTATTCCAAATTAACTCATATAAAATAACAATTAAGATAACAAAATCCTTGATAATTTCTGCCGGAGAAACAAACTTTTACAGTTAATATCAAAAGATGGTACGAGTCAAAGATTATTCGTTACATTAATCCAGACGAATTATTAGGCATTCATATATCAATATATTACTTGACTACAAGTTGATAAAGATGATATATTTTTGTACTTACTATCAGATAGAGAATTGCTTGCTTCATTACCGGAGAAGCACAAAGTAGAATGTTACACTTTATTATCTGTGCACTAAATAAAGTTCGTTTGGCATCTCGCGCTCGGGACATAGGCGCGGGCGCAGGGACGCCATCGACGCGCCTTTGAAACCAGTTTGCTAGTACTGCTAGTTTTTTTTTAACTGGCAACTTTTTTAATAGCTATTCGAAGAAATACTGTCATAACTGATCAGAGCCATTGCGATAAAATTGTTTGTAATATTAAAGATAGTTTACAATACCAATCAATTGTTCTTTAAGTTAAGACGTTACTTTGACGTAAGTCAATTCAGTTTTAAGTTACAATAATGTCTTAGATCTTTAAAGTTAAAATACCTAAGAAAGTTTCTCTTTATAAAGCTTAAGGTTAATCCACAAAGAATTTGATACACGGAGCTTTGAAATTTATTAAGAATACTTGAAGGTTGCCTCGATTGAACAAGAAAATAAATCAATTGTGGGCAAAAGTTGCTTTAAACTGCAGTGACACAAGTTTATTCTTTAAAATATATTTTTATTTATAACTTCATGAGTTCTTTTATTTAAGACTCTTCTAATTATGATTAAAAAAAGTTAAAATATCCTCTAAAAATTCGTATCCAACGACAAAGAACAGTTAGGATCGAAGTGGGCGATGTTACACAATTCTCGTATAAGGATCGCAATAATCCAGATCAGACTTAGGAGTAGTTTGTTTCAATCTATATGGCATTGGAATCCTCGTGATACAAGTACCTATTTATTGTTTCGAACTCCTAGCGCCCAAGTTAGGAGCTACTTATTTGACGACAACTACACAGGGTTAAAAAATGTGCTTTAGACGTAGCACTGAAAATGGGACGTTCAAAAATCTGTGTGTTCCTCAGAGACATTAAGTCTATATTTAGTATGAGAAATCTACACTAAGGGATGGGACTCCTTTGATAACAATTTAATGAGTGCGGCAGAATCTCCTCTTTTTTTCTTTGAAACTGGGATTTATTTATGTAATTCTCTCATAAAAAGATACAAAAACATCTTTGTACGTAAATGGTCAGTATTATAGGAAGTAGCTATTTTAAAATCGTGACCTAATTGCAATAACAATATTTGGGCTATTGCCAAAACCAGCGTACTAAGAGTATAAAAATAGATATTTTGTTCCCTAACTTTTTCAGTTTTGGACAAAATGTTTTTGGAAATAGATTCGAAGCTAACGACATGAGTCATAAACATTCACAAGAAATAAAAAAAATCTTTGTCTATGCTTTAAGTATACGGTAACACTTTAAAGTTCTCCAAACATACGTTGAATTTTGAATTCTTCATTGTTTATATACTACATGTATTTTATTTACTTTAGGACGGATGTAGAAATGGTCCACATAACTAGTAATAAAAAAAGTATACCAAACGTATTATGAAAACTCGACTCACTGATGCGTGACCTTTCTTGGTTGTCTTAGGAAAAAGTAAATTTACGTACATAACATACTTACTTTTAAATAAGTAGAAACTTACAAGTATTGTGTTATGGTAGTCAAAATAAAACGATGAGCGATGAAATATGAGATAATAAACCAAAAAATGACTATTATTAACTTTTAAACGTATTCTGTGAAGTCTTCATGGAATAAATTCAAGATTAGTTACGCAATGCGGACTTATTTAGTGAGGATTTATTCTGTATACCAAAAGTTCGAGCACGTATGGAAAAATGTGACCTAAGCGACAAAATTGATATAAAGTTTCAAGTTTAAGTTATAAAGTAACACAAATATACATCATCCAACTGTTCTGATTTCGAGCAATAAAACGAGCCATATTTGCGCAGATATTTGATATTAATAATGATATTATGTACCTAAAAACATTGGCAATATATTATCTATTTACATAACCGGGTTTACAAAAGTATCGAATGAATGATGTATGTCATATCTCCTGTGTAAGGTAAGCATATATTAACATAGTGGAATACGTATTAAAAATCCTTACTAAGGGTTTGTAAGATACGCATAAATAAAAACAATTCATCCTTCAACTCATTTTTTGTAAAAACACAAATAAAAAAAATTGTTACGGCAGTGGAATTGCACCTTTATATTAGAACTAGCTGTCTGTCACCCGCGACTCCGTCCGCGTGGATCTATTAAAAACTTATTTAGTGTGTGTCCATCGATCCATATCACATCCAGCCTAAACAGTCGCATTTATAATATTAGTAAGTTTAATAAAAATCAGCTCTTCAAGGCATAAATTCGAAAAAATGAATAAATAGTATCCTATGTCCGTCTCCTGGCTCTAAGCTACCTCCTCACCAATTTTTAACCCTATCGGTAAAGCCGTTCTTGAGTTATAAATAGTGTAACTAACACGACTTGCTTTTATATCTATAGATTAAGAAGATAGTGTTTAAGCAAAATACATTGATACCCATACGGATCATTGGCTAAGCAGTATTATACAGATAAAAAAGAAAAAAAAACAATTTTCATTTTGTGTGTTCTCATAGCATAGTTATTTTTCGGCCTGGATGTTGCATAGATTTGTGTTAATCCATATTGCATTCGTTTTTTGTTTTTTAGGACACACTCACATATCAGCATTAGTACGTTAGCCCGTCCTATATAGCTGTCATAAACTGTGTGTGAGCTGTATTCTTCGTAATACAAAAGTCAATAAAAATCTTATTTACTATGAGTTACATTGACAAAACATATTTCTCACAGTGACAGTGAAAACGTGATACTTATTATAAAGTTTGTAATGTATATAGTTGAATTATAAAACATAAAAAGGCGCGCGAATATTGGGTCACCATCAGCTCACTATACGTCACCAATAAGAGGCTCAGAGCCTACCCTAAGTTAGGTGTGACTAGATCATAGTCAACCACGTTGACCCATAGCGGGTTGGTGAATTCATACCCTAGTTATAGATGCAACGACATTACCACACGCTCGGAAAAGAGTGACAAAAAAATACGCATACTACTTTTTTTCGGTAATATTTTGTCAGATACAGGAATACCATTAAAAATATTAGGCCTCGTATTGTTTGACGCCGGTTGAAATTAGACAAACAAACGTTCTGTCTCGCGCAAGACTCACGTGTTATTTTAAACAAGCCACCTGCCAGTTGCTCTCATGATGACATGGGTTACTCGTGACGATTAATAAAATTGTATGTCAGGTTTAGCTAAGCCAAGGTAGTCGTGGCTTATTCCGAAATGTAAAATGATGTAGGGGATTAAATGTTTGCTTATAAAATTATTCGACCTATTAATAACATCCTATATATTTCACACCAGACTTTAGGGTGACCTTAAATTAGTATTATTATAATAAAACTTAAAGTGAAGTTAAAAATTAAGTGAAGTATAAATAAAAGTAGATACCAAAACACTAAACATCCGACATATTTCTTCAATTCAATCTAAGATTTTAACATATTAAATAACAAGTAGGCTGCTATAGAAATTTCCGTTAGAATGTGTATTCAAGCATACTTCACCTACCTACAGAATGTTCCTCATAGCACAGATTCGCTGCGAAAAATTTGTTATTCAAAGCAATTAGCTACTAAATATAGTTAAGTAGCTAATGGCTTTGCAATATTTTGCGTGATACTTAAAACATGTTAAGTATTATTACACATAAAGTATTAAATAATTAAGGTTACAACGCAATGGTCGAGCACTTATTTGTTTATTTTTATATAATTATTATTAAGTACTGATGTGCGGAGGAGCGTCGGTGGCACATTGGTCAAGAACTTACTTGCAATCTGCAGGTCCTGGGTTCGAATCCCGCGATGTACCAATGTGTTTTTCATTTTCCGATTTACATATGTACATTTATCCGACGTTCTTACGGTGAAGGAAAACATCGTGATGCAACCTGCACATATCTGAGAATAAATTCAAAGATATGCGTGAAGTCAACCAACCCGCACTCGGCCAGAATGGTTGACTATGGCCTAATCACCCTTAACTTAAGGCAGACTCGAGCCCCTCGGTGGGGACGTATAGTGAGCTGATGATGATGACTGATGTGCGAAAAGCAAGGAAAGTTAAACTAACATAAGCATTTTATAAAGCTTTTATTATAAGCTTCTTGAATTCAATTTATAGGTACTTGTCATAGAAAATATTTATCAGACTGCAAACATGTAATATTACATCTTTTTTAATATAATAATTGAAATAAATTGTGGTATTTTTTAAATGTGAGCTCCGTAA